AAGTTAGAGGGTTAATATGTTGTGGGGTTGTTAACTAATGTCATAAAATAACATGTGTACTTCTGTTTCATGAGAAACTATTTGTTCTGTAAGCCTTCATCTGAAGTACAATTACCAAAAAAAGAAAACAAAAAAAACAGGGATCTGGTGGCCCAAGGCAACCTCTTGGCAATCTTTAATTTAATACCATTTGACATAAACATATTTTAATATAGTGTGATGACATTTGTAAAGCATTAAAAATCACTAAAAGTCAATCAAATCAAATCTTTGCAGATCTACGTGAAGTCCCTCTATGAGGTCTGACGACCACTGGACTCAATTCCTTAAAGTCCCTTCTAAGACCTGTGAGGCCAGACCTTAGGCGGCCTTGCAGCTGCCGCTGCCGCCCTCTGGGAACGTTTCTGCCAAGAAGCCTGGCCTAGCCTGCTGAGGGCACGTGGAAGCAAACCGAGGCGCCTAGCCAATAGCCAACAGTTACTGCCAGACACGCAAGTGAGGCCAGCTTGAAACGCATACTCCAGGGGATCCCCAGATGATGGCGGCTGCATGAGTAAGCCCGGAGACCAGCCAAGGACCCCCTGGCTCGGCCCAGCCCACACTGCGGAATCCTGACTAAAGCAACGGTGGCTGTTGGTGACACAGCAATGACTGACTGATCCGCCTGAAATAAAGATGCGTGTCTTATACAAAACAACAATACCCATCACTGAGGGCCTTAATCCAAGCACTGAATACAACTGTTCCTCCACAAGTTAAACACAAACAGCTGGCTGGTACGTATGTGTCACCTGTTTTTGCTTAATGGTGCTTGTCTCACTACTCACTTTGGGGATGTCCTTTGTCACATGTGTCTGGGCAGCCTGCTCTCTCATTGGCTCACGAGCGTCTTGTTCCATTTCGGCTCAAAAGATGCTTCTGTTAACGATCCCTTTTCTGTTCTTAAAGACACATGGAGACAGAGACATTTATAGTATATAAACGGCAACCTCTTTCGGGCTGCTAGTGTTGGGGTTTATGCCGTCTCCCTTTGCGTTTTTGCAAACAGGCAAGCCACACTGTAGCATTTCGAGGAAGCTCTCTCAGAGAAGGGACATCACTGGACCTCCTTTGCCAGTCACTGAATGCCAGCCATTGCCAAGCAAAACTTGAAAAAGTCCTAGTGCCTACCCTCTGGAGGTCCCCTCCCAGTGTGGGAGCTAGAGCACTAACAACGCAGGCTGCTGCCTGAGGGGGTGACCCCAAGCTGGGTCCTAATGGCCCTGTGCCTCTGACCGAGGGAGTGGGTGTCCTGTCCACCGCCGGGGTGGGAGGGACAAGGCAAGGGCACAGAGCCAGTGTGTTCTATGACAAGTTGCATCACAGTAAGTGAAGCAAGATGGGGAACAGGGTCACGGGCATGCAGGGGCTTGTGTGGGGCTGGGAGGTCACCTGGTGGGAGCTGAGGAGCCCTGGGTGGTGTGAGTAGGGGTGAGGGTTGCAGTCAGATCTGAGCTATGGCAAGATCACTCAGGCTGCAGTGTGGAGAATGATGTCAGCCGGGTCCAAGGCTCAGGGCCTTCCAAGCACGGGCTGACATGCTCTTGTCACTTGAAGACCCGCTAGACGTCAGGGAGACTTGATTGGCCTCATTCAACAGGTGAGCCATGGAGGCTGAGAGGCCAAGGTCACACAGCTGGCACACAGCCAAGGCAGGCTGCTTGGGAAGCGGGCGCGGAGGGATATGAGAGTAGAAGAGGAAGCACGGGCAAAACTGGGCAGGGGCTCAGAGGCCAGGCCTGTGGGAGCAGGGGTGCCAGACCGGTGGGAGGCGGAAACGGGGCGCCTCACCAGCCATTCAAATTCAAGCACGATTTACTGAGCACCTAAAGCGTGCCCCTCACTGGCCCTGGCTGGAGTGCCAGCAGTGAACAAAACCCAAACCCAAACCCCGGCCTCTAGACCAGGATAAATAAGCAAAGCAGTAGGTGAAAAGGTGGTCAGTGCTACAGGGGAAAACAAAAGAGAGCAAAGTGGGGTGGGGAGGGCTTGGGCGATACTGCAGCCTCCTAGGGTGGCCTTGCTGACAAGGTGAGAGGTGAGCCCAGACCTGGAGGAGGGAAAGAAATGGGCCAAGCAGGTGTGTTGCTGGCACATTAGAGGCACAGCAAGAAAGGGGCTCAGTGTCCCGGGGCCAGAGCGAGCCAGAGGAGAGGAGGGGGCATGCCAGGCCAGCCCTTGTACTGCTGGGGAGGCTGAATCGGGAGAAGCAGCAGCCGAGGCCAAGAGAAAACAAGTGGCATTTCTGGGGTGGAGCTGATAGAACCTGGGGGCTGGATATGGGGTTGGCAGGGAAGAGTCAAATATGACCGAAAGGTTTGGAACCTGGTTCACTGCTCAACGGGGCAGAAGGCAAAGGGCAGCAGGTTGGTGAACATTTCCATTGCCAGCCTGAGAAACTTGCCCAGTGTCCTCTGCCTTCCCAAACGACGGCCCCAGTACCTGGAGGGGAAGCAGGGAGGGGTTGGGAGCCACGGAGTGCTCTTCCGCTGGCTGGAAGCCAGCTCCCTTCCTCAGCCCAATTCACCTGATACCCTCGCACACGCCCCCTTTTCACTCTCCCAGCGGGTGCAGCACTTTCAAACTCCAGGTGACTTTGCTCCTGGTGGCGCTTCCGCTTGACATGCTCCTCCCATCTTGAGCCCACATCGCCTTCACTCTGGTCAAAGTCCGGTCCCCATGCCCCCAACTCACCTTCCTGGGCTGCATTTAGCCAGACGAGAACTAGTTATCCTCTCTCGGAACCTGGTTTGGGGACTAATCGGCTGGCTCAGGCTGGGGTGCTCTGCGGACCTGGAGTGGCAAGTACGCTGCTCCTAAGGCCCAGCAGTCCGCACCTCTGGGACTCCTAGGCTCAGCATGTCCCTTCCCCTCTCTGGGCCTCAGTTTCCCGGTGTGGACACGCCCGCTCCAACACGCAAGGTCACGGTCTGCTCTGGCCCCCCTGATGCCCGCTCTCCCTAACACAGCCACAGGCAAGAAGGCCCCGGCCCCGACCGCCCCCCAGCCCCAGCCCCTCGCCGCCACCTTACCCCTCCCTCGGCTCCACCGGCCGGTTTCAGCTCGCCCGCTGCAGGATCGCAAAGCACCAAATACCGGCCACCACCCTTTTCTCCTCCCGCGTGAGACCAGAATCGGCTGAGGCTCCTCCATCCATGGGATTGGCTTGGCTCGCCACCGGCTCCACCAATCAGCGCTAACGGCATGATGCTGACCAATCGTCTCCGGCCTCAGCCGGAGCCCGCCTTCCCCCGCCCCTGGCCGGGGCTCAGCCGGGTTAGTCCCACCCGCTCCGACTCTGCGCCAATGGGGAGCGGCGGCGGTGGGCGGGCCACCAATGGGGAGTGGGGCCGCGCGCGTGGGGCTGTGGGAAAGGCGCCGAGTCAATGTGTACGACCGTTGCCTTAACAACGCCAGTAGAGTCCGTCAGCGATGGTAAGTGTAGGCAGTCTGGTCCTGCTCCGCTTACCGAGGCTGAGGACTGAGCGGGCCTTGGCCGGCAACGCCGCCTCTCCCGCCCGTTTTTAAGCTTCAACACGCCCTTCTTCCCTCCGAACCGAGTCCCGGAAGGGTAGGGTCGAGACGCCAGCCACCTCGCTGGGCCTCGCTTCTCTCCGCTTCCTCCCTTTGCCACAGCCGGCCCGACATTCCCCTCGGGCGCCCCCGGCCTCCCCTGGCCCTCCCCAGGCCCCTCGGCGACTGTCCCTCTGCTGGGATGACTCGGGTTTCCCGCAGGCCTCGACCCCACTCCGACCCTGGCCTACTGGCAGCCTCATCCTGCCAAAGTTTCTGCACAGAGCTGGGGGGAGGTTTCGGTTCTTATTTAACATGGATTTTAAAATTTAAATATAGAGACTTTTGTGAACCGCTTTGAGCTTTTTGGAGAAGTCCGAAACGTGCTTAGTGGGTTTACTTTTATGATTTTATCCTGACAGAGTATAAATCTTAACAACTTAGTTATATTTGGCCAAATGTAGACGTAACCAGAAAGTCGAAGTACTTAGAGGGAATTGGAGTACCACGAGGGGCACTGTAAGGACATTTCCTGAACTAGGATCCCCCAGTTCATCTGGAGCTGATGATCTCGACAGTGATACACATTGGCTAGCTCTGTTTTGAGATGATGTTCAATAAGAAGTGTCCAAAACAACAAGGGATCCCCTTGCCTCTAGAAACAATAGGAAATAAGGGGTGGGAGTGGGGTAAAAGTACATGGGGTGGCTAGTGTAAAATATTTGTAGAATAGATACGGTTGTCTGTAAGGTCCCTGGGTAGCACAGATGGTTGGTACTCATCTACTCACCTTAAGGTTGGTGGTTAGAAACTACCCAGCAGCACCATGGAAGAAAGGCCTGGCAGTCTGCTTCAGTAAACATGACAGCCAAGAAAACCCTATGGAACAGTTGTACTCTGTATCATATGGGGTCACCGTGAGTCGGGGGCCGACTTGATGGCAGTGGGTTTGGTTTTTTGAGTTTTATGGTTGTAACTGTCTTCTGTAAAATATGGACTGTATTGCATACTACTGTGCTCATGTGTTTGTATGATGTCTAAAGGCCTCCTCCAGCTTTAGGAAGGCAAGCATGGCATCAACTTCCCAGCGAAAGAGGATGAGTTCTAAGCCTGAGCTCACTGATGAGCAGAGGCGGGAAATCCGCGAAGCCTTTGATCTCTTTGATGCTGACGGTACCGGCACCATTGATGTCAAGGAACTTAAGGCAAGCAGTTTACGTTTCTTCTTTATCCTCACCCTGTCTTCATCTGCATCACCTCTGCCAAAAGGAACGGGGGGGGGGGGGCAAACTGGGGTTTTTTTTCCTTCTGTTTTTATCTCCCTCAAGTGTTACTAAATCAAATTAGCCACAGGCATCATTTTCACAGTGTCATATCAGATGCTGCTGAATGCTGTCAGCACTGTCACGTTTCCTCCTGCTGGGTTTGGATTGGCCTCCTGAGATGGCGTCCTGTTTTCATTGTAGGTGGCTATGAGGGCCCTGGGCTTTGAGCCCAAGAAGGAAGAGATCAAGAAAATGACCAACGAAATCGACAAGGAAGGTACAGGAAAAATGAACTTCAGCGAGTTTCTGACTGTGATGACCGAGAAAATGGTACGTTAGCTCACATCATCAGCAGATTGTCCATCCGTGGGGTCGATGGATTTGAACCTAGACAGGGAAATTACTTCATTACAGCAAAGCCGGCAAAAGCAGCCTTGAGTTAGGTTACTGAAGAAGGGGGTGATTTGGGCCGTGATGGGGCTGTGGGATACGGGTGACTGCGATAGTCTCTACTCACGCGTGCTTATATTCTCCTTATTCAGTCTGAGAAAGATACCAAAGAAGAAATCCTGAAGGCTTTCAAGCTCTTCGATGATGATGAAACTGGGAGGATCTCCTTCAAAAATCTGAAACGCGTGGCCAAGGAGTTGGGCGAGAACCTCACTGACGAGGAGCTGCAGGTCTGTAAAGGCACAGAGCTGGCCTCAGGGTTCTGCTCCTTGGGTGCCTTTTCTCTACCTCTTTCAAGGAAAGCACGTGTTCTGTTGTCTCTCTTGTCTCTTTTGATAATCTGACAAACCTCTGGATCCCCCTGAAAAACGCGTGTGTGTGTGGTTCCACTTACTATGTTAGGTTTCAGGATACCCCCCCTCCCGGTCAGGGTCATCTTAGCACTCGTTCCAGGTGGTATGTGTGACAAAGGATGACTGGGCTCTCAAAGAACACTTCAGGAAGCGAGCTTTATAAAACGGCCACATGGCGACAGCACCACGAGGGACCCCCTGGTCCAGTCACGCAGCACTATCGGAAGCCTCTTGCTCAATTGCCTTTTCGTTGAGTTGATGAGTTAATCTAACCTGACTTCTTTACCGTCACACAGGAAATGATTGATGAGGCGGATCGAGATGGGGACGGAGAAGTCAGCGAGGAGGAGTTCCTGCGGATCATGAAGAAGACCAGCCTCTACTAAAGCAGCCGCTGCTCTCCTGCGGGCACACGCAGCGAGATCCAGTGCCTGCCATCGTGTGAAACCTCTTTGGAGAACACCAACTACCCCACCCACTGACTTCCCAGTAGAACTTAAGTACCAACCCAGTTCTTTTTTCTCCTTTAGAAGGTGTTCTTTGATGTTACACTTCTTTGTAAAATGACCCACTGATTGTTTGCATTCCCCGAAGCAGAACTAGAGCACATTAGAAGGGAGAAAATGGAGAAGAGGGTCCGAATGCTTTCGCCCGCCTGCCCTTTGGCCTTGCATCACCTCCCTCTTCTCACGCAATCCGCCTCCAAACGCGGCACTTGTCCTCCCTGTCGCCACAAGCAACAGACCCCTCTTGGGTGGTCCTAGTTGTTAGTTGACACCGGACTGTAGTTCTCTCTTTTATAAAACCTGGTGAACTCTCTCACTGGCATTCCGACGTGTGTTTAGTGCTCTTTGTTTTGTCTTAAAAATAAAGCCTTTCTCGTTTTGAATGTTTGCTGTCTCACGATGGGTTCTTTAGCCGTGACTCGGTGTTCAATCTTCTAAACCATCGCGGTGAAGGAGCCCGGTAAACACAAAACGCCTTGCCAGCCCACAGACAGAAACGATGTAATTCTTCACCACTTTCCTGGCATGAATTGTTTCTTGCCTTAGGGACCCATCTGCTTGTGAAACTAGCAGGATTTCCATTTCGCCTCAGCCGAAATGATGCTCTAGAAGTCCTTTTGGGAAAGTGTATGGCCAGTTGAGGGTCTCTGGGGTGATTTGTGCTTAGACAGATGTGGAGACCCCAGACTAGTATGCCAGTGGGTTGAGCTCAGCCACACTCTGCTGAGTTCATTTGCTTACAGCGTCTCATAGGAGCTCTGGAGTTGGGTCAGACCGAGTCACCTCGGCCAGGACGAAGCAGTCCGAGGTGAAAGCCCTGGTGGGTTGGCAGTACAGTCTCTGCCCCGTGAGGGTGGGGAGCAGGACGCCTCTGACCTGGGAAACAGAAAACAGCAACAAGGATGGGATGCTCATTCGTGCAGACAGGCAGAGGGAGGACAGTCTCACGTGCCCCCTAGTCCCCGGCCCTGAGGTTGCCAGATTTAGCTAACGAAGCCAGGACACCAGGTGTCATGGATTGAATTATGTCCCCCCAAAAAATGTGTGTATCAATCAGTTTGGCTGGGCCATGATTCCCAGTATTGTGTGGTTGTCCTCCATTTTGTGATAGTGATTTGATGTTAAAGAGGATTAGGATGGGATTGTATAACATCCTCACTAAGGTCACATCCCTGATCCAATGTAAAGGGAGTTGCCCTGGGGTGTGGCCTGCACCACCTTTTATCTCTGAAGAGAGAAAAAGGACAGGGAAGCAAGCAGAGAGTGGGGGACCTCATACCACCAAGAAAGCAGCACTGGGAGCAGAGTGTGTCCTTTGAACCTGGGGTCCCTGTGCCTGAGAAGCTCCTCGACCAGGGGAAGATTGATGACAAGGACTTTCCTCCAGAGCTGACAGAGACAGCCTTGCCCTGGAGCTGACGCCCTGAATTTGGACTTGTAGCCTACCGGACTGTGAGGAAATAAACTTGTCTTTGTTAAAGCCATCCGCTTTATTTCTGTTACAGCAGCACTAGATAGCTGAGACAGCAGGTAACTTTGAATTTCAGATAAATAATGAATAATAGTGTAAGTAGGTCCCACTTGGCCTTTTTGTTAGGTGTTCGTTGTTTGCCTGGACATACAAATTCCAGTTAAACTGGGCATGCTGTATTTAACCCGGGGCGGCATGCTGGAGAGCCCTGCCCTGGGCCTCCTCCCTGGAGCCTGGTAGCCTCCAGGCCTTTTCCACACACCCATGTGTGTCTCCAGCAGAGGGGATGGCTTTCTGAGACCCGCGGGGGAAGCGCAGAGAGGCGCCTGGGCCCTGGCTTCTCACAAGGGCCCACCACTCCCTGGGGGTGGGGGGGCAAGGTGGGATTAGCTGCTGCTTCTGCAGGGGCCTTGGGTTCCTTGTCCATGCCACGCGGAGACACGTGCTTCGCCCAGAATCGATGGGATCAAATGGAATCGTACAGAAAGGGCCTGGCCTTTAAGCGCTCACGAAGGGGTGTTTCAGAAATGTTAGTTCCTTGGTTGCAGTTCTCACGTAAGCTTTGTTGTTCAGTAAAGGCGTGTGAAGCTTTTAGGATGAACTGTAGACAGCAGTTCCCGGGAGGATTTGCCCCGGATTGTGTTGCTGTTTTCTAATAAAAGGCACATGATCTGATAAAAGACACATCGGAAAGGAGGAAAAAGGACTCCTTTCTCTCGAAACCTTCTCCTCTCCTCCTGCTTCACATTCCCGTAAATGAAATGAGGTCTCCCAGGGATCTCAGGGAGAGGGAGAGTGGCAGGTAACCCGTGGATAAAAAGCATAAGGTGCTCACCAGCAGCTGTTAGAAGGTTGATTTGCAGGTTGCTCAGAGGAGGGGATGGGAAAGAGATCTGGGGCTGGACGAGAGATGGAGGGGAGTCAGGGGGTAGGGGAGCACAGGGAGCAGGGGTGGGCGTGGGCGTCATAGTTCATATGTGGCTGGACAAGGAAGATGTAGGAATTGTTGGGGGGATGGGGACTTCCAGGGAGCAGATGTCAGCTCACATGGAGTGTGCCAAGAGATGTTGGGGATGGGGTTGTGGGTTCCGACAAGTATTAGAGGTCAGTACGCGTGGGGCTGGACCAGATTACAGAAGAGGGGTGGGGGAGGGGGATGGAGAAGAAGCAGTTCACACAGGGAATGCGGGGATTCAGAGACCACCACGTGGAGGGTGGACCACAGAGGTGTAGGAGGAGGGAAGGGTGATGGGGAGGGAGAAGGAGCAGAGGCCAGTTACTGTGGGAGTGGACCAGAGAGCTGTAGGGGCATTGGGGGTGGAGTTTGGGATAGAGAGGGAACAGATCTTTGCTCATGTGGGGCTGGACCAGAGAACTGTAGGCGAGTGGAAGTGGGATTTGGATGTAGAGGGAGCAGAGATTGGTTCCTGGGAGGATGAACCAGAGAGCAAACTGCAAGGGTGTTGAAGAGGGTGGGGAGGGAGAGGGAACACAAGTGCCTTCCTGTGGGAGGAGCTGAGAGACGCTGGGAAAGCAGAGGAGGAGAGGACAGTTGACAGTTGACGGAGGTTGAATCCGAGAGCTGTAGAGC